AGACGCTCACTTCCCACAGGCTGCTCAGAAGCGTTCCCAGGGCCGGGGCCAGGCTGTGGGCGGGGGTGAGCTCAGGCCTGGCTGCGGCCTCTTCCAGCAGCCGGCCCCCACCCCTTGCATTCCAGGATGCGGTGGGGAATCCCTGGGTACCTCTCTGACCCCAGGAGCCTGGACCACCTGCTCTGATATCCTGGGTCCTGGAGTCCTGCCCCTCCCCTCCTTCCAGGCATGGCTCTATGCCTCCCTGGGGCCTCCCAGCACCCCGCCTGCTTTTGACAGGCAGGAAACAGAGAGGTTAAGTGGCTGGCTAAGTTTGCACAGCAGGAGACTTGGAGGTGGGCTGGGACCAGGTTGCCCGGCTCCTGAGCTCCTGCGCTCAGCCTGGATGCCTTGGGCCACCTTGGCCACCTCGGCCACCCACCAGCCTAGTGCCCGCTTTACAGATGGGACATAGGGGCCTAAGGCATCTGATGCAGTGCCATTTTGTGCCTTGCCCTGGCTCTCCCTGATTCCAGGAAACAGCTTTGTTCTGGAAAACTGTTGAGTCAGGCCGGGGAAACAGGCCCTGGTGGATGTCTGTCCCCGCCCTCACCCTGCAGGCAGGGGGGGAAGGGGCATCCACCGTGTACTTGTGAGGATGGTGCCTTGGGACCAGGGGCAGGGGTATAGAGGCGCTCTGTACTGTAGTCAAGTGCAAAGAGGGGCGTGCACTGCTTTCCTTTTCTCTAAAAATCCCCACCTGGGCCCTCAGGAACCAAACCATGCCAGGCCAGGGGCTCCGGGGACCGACGCAGGAGGCCTGCCCTGTCCCCGCAGGTCCAGGTCCGTGTGGGGAGGTAAAGGCCCTCGAGGGGCTCCGGAAGAGGCTGTGGCTGGCCTGCATGGGTCAGTCATCTCAGCACAAGGACTTGTCAGGAGCGTGTCTTGTGATTACGGTGGGCTGCCTCCAGGCAGGCCTCCAGGGCTGCGAACCTGTGTGAGGGTGTCCACACTCGGGCCATTGGCCCCAGGACCTCAGAGGGTCAGCAGCTGGTGTAGTGGAGGGGTAGGTGGCCCTTCTCCCTCCCCACGTACCTGACCCCTGCCCTCCCCATGACCTCAGCAGGACGATGACAGCAGGGACATGGACACCAGCTCCATGGGGGGGCTGCAGGAAGCCCCCGATCAGCCCTCCAAGCGGAGGTCTTGGCTGGCTGCCCGGTTCCGGATCACAGCCCACTGGCTGCTGGTGGCCGCTGGGCGGACCCTGGCCATCGTGCTGCTCGCGTTAGCAGGTACCACTGGGCGGGGCCGGGGCCCCATCACTGCTGTTGCATCCGGAGGCGTCTTCGTAGCCTGCAAGCCCCCCACTGACCAGCGGGACGGCGGTCAGGCAGCCCTGGCCAGGCTGACCCTGATGAGCACCTCCGCCTGGCCCTGCAGGCATCGCCCACCCCTCAGCCTTCTCCAGTGTCTACTTCCTGGTCTTCCTGGCCCTCTGCACCTGGTGGGCCTGCCACTTCCCCATCAGCCCCCTGGGCTTCAGCGCACTCTGCGTCATGGTGGGCTGCTTCGGTGCCGGCCATCTCCTCTGCCTCTACTGTTACCAGACGCCCCTCGTCCAGGCCGTGCTCCCGCCTGCCAGCATCTGGGCCAGGTGAGGGCTCGCCTGCACAGGCCCCGCCACCGTCTCCCTGGTCCTGCCTGCCTGCCTGGCCCCCATGACCTCAGATGTGGTCACTTACGTGCCTTCTCTGGGCAGGGTGTTCGGTCTCAAGGACTTTGTGGCCCCCACCAACTGCTCCAGCCCCCATGTGCTGGTCCTCAACACCAGCCACGACTGGCCCGTCTACGTGAGCCCCGGCATCCTGCTGCTGCTCTACTACACCGTGACCTCGCTCCTGAAGCTCCGTGCACGCCAGCCGCCAGGCCAGGTCAGCACCCGGGCCAGTGCCCTCTGCTGTCCCGCCCCCTTCAGACCGGGGCTGGGGGCTGAGCTTCCCCCTGTTCTCTGCAGAGGCAGGAGGCGGCCGGGCGCAATGAGGAGCGGGAGGTGGAGCTGACCGAGGTGGACCAGTGGCCCCAGGGCCAGGCCAGGGCTGCAGCTGCCCAGGAGGAGGGGGGCACCCAGGTGAGGCGTCCGGGCTGAGGGGGGGCCAGCGCCCACCTGCCTGCAGGCTGGGCTCACTGGGCTCGGCTCACCCCTGCAGCTCACAGCGCCCCCGCCCACGAGGCTGGACCCCGAGGACAACTGCATCGTGCACGACCTCACCGGCCACAGCCCTGTCCAGCAGCACCCCGGTGAGCACGCCGTAGTGCTGCCCCCTGGTGGTTTCACAGTGCCACCTCTCCAGCTGTGCCCTTCTGGGGCTGCCCCGGCGCAGCCTTGTGGCTGACCGCCCCCGGGACCCTGTGGGGGCTCCAGGTCTTCCACCCCCTCCCCAGAGGACTTGACTGCTCTGCCTCAGGCAGCTTCGGGCCCTGGGAGCTGTGTAGGCGGTGTCCCCAGGGCACGGTTGGGCCTTTTTTTTTTTTTTCCTTTTGTCTTGGTTTCTATCTTATGAAGTAGGGGTGAGGCCACTGGCCTCAGGACCTGGCACCTGGGGACGCATGTGCCCCCAGACGTGGGACGGGGGCTGGGCCATCTCGTCCATCCTGTCCCTTCAGAGTCTTAGAAACCAAGTCCTGGAGAGTGGTGAGGACTGGCCAGGGCCCTTTGTTGGTGTTTTCCGCCACCTGCGCCCAGCCGCCATCCCCCATGCCCAACCAACTGCTGAGCGTGGCTCCCTCCTCCCCACTGGGCTGTGGTTCCAGCGTCCTGTCTGTGTTTTAGGGTGTGCGTGAGGGGCTTGGGCCTATGGATGTGGGAGCTTCCCCGGCGGGGGGCCCGCCTTTCTAGTGACCCCTGCCCCCCACCTCTTAGTGCGTCCTAGGCTAACTGAGCCCAAAGAGCCATCTCCGCTGCACGGCCTGGGCCACCTCATCATGGACCAGAGCTATGTGTGCGCCCTCATCGCCATGATGGTGAGTGGCTGCCCCTCTGGCTGGGGCTCCCCCAGGGCTCTCACCACCTTCTGGTGGGGGGTGGCCTGGTGCCTTGTCACCAAAAACGGATGGGGCTGTGACCTGCTGGGCCACGCACCACCCCTGGCTGTGTGTGTGCATGGGTGCACACATGTGGTCAGTGAGTCCTGGGCCGATGCCCCCCTGGGTGGTCGGGGTATGTTTGCTTTCCCGTCTGAGCACCCCGCACCCCAGGACCTGCCAGCTAGTTGGCCTGTGGGAGTGGGTCTGGGTGCCGGGCCAGATGTCCTGTGCAGCCCTGCCCCCACCCTGCCATCCAGGTGTGGAGCATCACCTACCACAGCTGGCTGACCTTCGTGCTGCTGCTCTGGGCCTGCCTCATCTGGACTGTGCGCAGCCGCCACCAGCTGGCCATGCTCTGCTCCCCATTCATCCTGCTCTATGGGCTGGCGCTCTGCAGCCTGCGCTACGTGTGGGCCATGGACCTGCAGCCTGAGCTGCCCACCACCTTGGGCCCCGTCAGCCTGCGCCAGCTGGGGCTGGAGCACACCCGCTACCCCTGCCTGGACCTCGGCGCCATGGTGAGTCCGCCCCAACCCTGACAGCGCTAATGCTGCCCTGGGCTCCTGCCTGGGGACCTGGGACAATGCCTTCCTGTCCACCGTCCAGGTCCCAGTGGAGTGGGCACCTGAGAGGCCAGGGCCCATGTCTGGCTGTCACCACGGGGTGCCCAGGGGCCAGCCCAGAGTGGTTACTCAGAGTGTTTGGCTGGATGAGTCAGTGACGACCTCGTGTTGTCGGGAGGGCTGTCCCCTGTCGCGCTGACGTCCTGCGAGTCTCAGTGAGTCCTGTGCCTCTGCTGCGTCCCCAAGTGAGACAGGTCGTTGCCCCTGGACGCCCACGACCGTGCCGGTCACGTGTCGGTGGTCAGTAGGTTGTATCTCACTGAGAGGCGTGTGAGCCACGTATGTGCAAATGCGGGTGCAAACGCGTGAACCTGTGTGTGCACAGATGTGAACCCACGTTCACCTGTGGGTCTGTGCAGACGTGACCGTGTGTGCGTGAGCTGATGCGGACAAGCGTGTGTGCTTGCACGTGAGCCTGTGTGCGTGTGTGTACCGGACGGGGAGTTCCTGCCTGCAGGGAGGCTGGCTCTTGGGGGCCGGCGGGGACCACCTTCTGCTGTGGTCTTCCCACCCCCAGGGTTGGGGATGCTGGCCCAACAGTGACACTGCCCCCCTTCCCCAGCTGCTGTGCACCCTGACCTTCTGGCTCCTGCTGC